ACACAACAAAAAGTGTCTTATGTAGACCTAAAGTTGTCCAAGGGTTTTATAATTGTTCATTACTTTAAAGTATATGAACAAAACCTTGAAATTATTGCCTGAAGAATTCTGTCAAACAAAAACCTTAGTGAGTAATGAGATGTTACTGCAGATCTTACAAGAGAGAGCTCAGCAGAGAATTTTTGAATGCTTTACTAGACAATTTAGTGCCCCTCAGTAATTTTAGAACACAATACCATGGCGTTTTGGGGTCCTTTTCCCTTTCTTATCTGCGGATTTACAGGCTGCCTTCTCTGCTCTTTTCTCTGGGCTAGCTTCAATCTCTAAATTTTTGTATCTAAATTTACATCTGTATTTCACATCACAGAAAACTCACCTTTTTTACAAGTCAGATCAGCAACCTTTTTTTCTTACTTGAGCCTGCCTTTTGGATGAGTATATAAATATATTACATAAAGCCGGCGCCGCGGCTCACTAGGCTAATCCTCCGCCTAGCGGCGCTGGCACACCGGGTTCTAGTCCCGGTTGGGGCGCCGGATTCTGTCCCGGTTGCTCCTCTTCCAGGCCAGCTCTCTGCTGTGGCCAGGGAGTGCAGTGGAGGATGGCCCAGGTGCTTGGGCCCTGCACCCCATGGGAGACCAGGAAAAGCACCTGGCTCCTGGCTCCTGCCATCGGATCAGGGCGGTGCGCCGGCCGCAGCGCGCCGGCTGCGGCGGCCATTGGAGGGTGAACCAACGGCAAAAGGAAGACCTTTCTCTCTGTCTCTCTCTCTCACTGTCCACTCTGCCTGTCAAAAAAAAAATAAATAAATAAAAATAAAAATAAAAAAATAAATATATTACATAAATAAATTATATATAATATATATAAAAATTAAATATGTTACATATTATTTCAATTCCATTTTTCTGTGAACATTTTGAAGTGCTCTCTTATATGAGAGTGTGTGTATGTGTGTGTGTATTTAGAAGAAATTTAAATAAAATTTTGCATTTATTAGAAATTTCATTTTTATACATTTATGTTTTTTCCAAAATTTTCACAACTGTGCTGCTTTCTAGTAGAAAAGTTACGAATATTGAGACATAAAAACTGGAAGAAATGGAATGAGGATTTGTGAAAACTTTAAAATAATCAAGGTAGCTTCATAGGTCAATGAAAAAAGGATAAATTATTCTTAAAATAACACTGAGGTGGGGAGTTTAGAAAGCAGAAAGTTACATAAAGAATTCAATTGAACAGATAAGACCATATTTAGAAACTTAAATGAAAATATAGATTAATGTCTAACATCTTAGGTATGAGAGGACATTATAAATACAAAAATGGTTAAAGAAACTACACAGACATATGCTGCATAAATACAGAAAGTTTAAGCAAGTCAACTGATTCTCTAAACAATATAAAATATTATTGATAATATACCTTAAATCTCCATATCCTTAGTTAGATGTCATCTATAGGATATCCACACAGTTGCCATACATACGGTAAAGGTTGTATTGAATATTGGATACATTGCTTTAAACGTCTGGAGGTCGAAGAGAAATTTTGAACATATTATGTGGGAACCTAATATAAGGTTTAAAAACATTTATTTCATAGGCTTCCAGACTTTTAAGGGTGCTGTCTTCAGATCACAGATAACAAGACTTGAGGTCTTAGAGTTTGATAGAATGGTGCAACCCTCCAGGTAGATTTTTCTAATGTAGATGAGTGTTTCTAATCCAGTGCCCCCTGCAGTAGGAGATTTGTTCAGCACAAGAAGCAATTGTCTGTGTAGTACTGTTCAAGTGCCAATGGGACAAGAAGGAAGGGATGTGACCCAAGCAGAATATGGGGACCCAGAGCCCATAGGACCAACACTCCAATTATGGCAATGCTACATTTCTTTGATAAATATGTGGGGATATTGTGTCAGATTCTGTTTGATGAAAGATTTAAGTTGTGAATACAAAGGGTTTGAAAAATATGCACAGTATAAACATTATATATGCTATGGAAATTTCTGTAAATATACTTTCTAGTGCTAATTAAACCACAAGAACAGTTCCTGTCTTTAAGTTAGATGTGAATCACAAAGTATGGGAAACAATTATACTCTCAGTTAAGTACAGTCAACGTATATCCAATCAACCATGGATTGAAAATATTCAGAAAAAAAGCTGAGTCTGTGCTGAATATGTGGAGTTGTTTTCTTGTCCTTATTAAACAATTAAGTATAACAATATATGGAGTATAACAACTATTTACATGACAGAATGTATTAGATGTTATAAGTTATCTAGAGATGGTTTGAAGGACAGAGGATGATACACATAGTCTCTCTGTAAATACTATGCCTTTTTATATCAGAGATTTTTGGCATCTGCAGATTTTGAAATCTTCAGAGGTTCTAGAACTAATTTTCCTTGGACAATAAGGGATGACAGTACTCAACAAATAAAAATTAAAATTCTTATACTTTCAGAGTTCTAGAAGGCTTTCCAGTAAAGTGCTATTTGCCTTTTGTAGAATATTGCCAAAGAATATGTGAATTTCATAGAGATTATTTTTTTTTTTGCCAGTAATAGTTTCTACTGCAATCTAACCTTGGCTTATCACATCAAGGAGCCAATGTATTTTGAGCATTTAGACAAAGAAGTAAAAGCACTTTTAAAATTTGTCTGTAGTGACTGTCAATATTTCTCTTTTAAGTGATAAGCCTACCATTATAATATTTCATTTACGAGTACAGATTTTTGCTGTACCAGTGTTATTGATGGCACCAGAGTACCTCTATATAATCTGTTCACATAAATTTTTATATTGTAACATATATATAGCAAAAATAAAAGAAAGTCTCATTAAGACAAATTTTTTTTTCAGCAAAGCTGTTTACCTGAGTTTGTCATCTGTGGTACAGAATATCTAATAGGCTGATCTCTGTTCAGATGTGTATGTTTTAAAATACTGGGATTCCTTATCTTGTGCAAGAGATATGTTGATATATGAACATACATGAAGGTGAGTTTGAAGATATTTAAAGGCAAGACTCATATAGTAGCCCTTACTATGCCAAGCTTAGTAAAGACATTTTAGTGTTTACAACTACTTAGGAGTAAGGTACCATCATTATCTCCTTTTGAAAGATAAATATGCTAAGTTACAGAGGTGGTTAATAATTTTATAAGGACACATAATTATTCAATGTTGAAGTCAAGACTGAAACCCACAGCCTAGCTCCAATTTCGTCATTGAAGCATTTTATTGCCTGTAATGAACATGTGTGTTTTGGATGTGTATTATGTACAGTGTTATCTTTATTCAGTAAGGTGTCTTATTTTGTAACTGGTATACAGTTAACCTCACTCAGTCCACTGCAGATGCCAGTTTTTTCATTTTACAAATATTTATGGCATACCTACTAATGCTGTGGGTGCCTATGTTGATAGTCAGTAGACTTCTATTGTTTTTACCTATTCATCGCCATTGTCTATTTTACATATTGCAGCATGCAAGTTTAGTTTTGAAAACATACATTCTCCAAATAAGCAGACCTGAGAGAATGGCCTTTACTTTCCGTTTCATGTTCCCTAAACTGGTTCAGTAGAACAATCCCTGAGATTGGATCTTACACAGAGTGGCTTTTGTGGTTCCTGTGCACAGCATTCATGCCTTTGTGTGATATCCTTCTCTTGATTGGGACAGGAACTGTAAATTGTCTCAAGCTACCTAGAGCCTGGCAAAGGTGACAGGATATACCTGGTCATATTACAATCATCCATGGAGGATTGATTCCAGGACTGCTTCAGATACTGAAATACATAGATACCAAAATCTGTGGATGCTCAGGTCCCTTATGTAAAATGGCATGCTATTGGCACATGAGCAGTACATACCTTTAATTCATCTCTAGATTACAGATAATACCTAATGAATATAAATATTATGTGATAGTAGCTATATTATATTGTTCAGGTGATAACAACAGTGGAAAAGTCTTTGTGTTTACTATAGATGCGATTTTTGTTCTGATTATTTTTGATCCATAGGTGGTGGAATCTGCGGACACAGAGGACTGACTATGTACAGGATTGTGATGCCTGTCTCCGAAGGAGGCTTCTTCCCTGGCTGGCATTGATGAAGCAGCCTGCCGTGTGTGAGCTGTCACATAGAGGGAGCCATGCAGCAGAAAACTGAGGACCTTGGTTTGGCAGCCTGAGAGAACTGAATGCTGCCAACAGACTAGTAGGCTTTTCCAGTTGAGCCCAGTTGAAATACCCAACCCTGGTGGAAACCCTGATTATATAAAGGCGCTTCGAAACTTTTGTGGAAATTGGCATTAAATAATCAGTTTATTCCAGTGTAAAAAATTTTGAAATCTATGCACTGTTTTTTCCTAATATACCTTTTCCATCATCTTTTTTTGAACAGCCTTGGTATGCATGGATTTCAGACTTCTGTACCAAAATAAACTGATCTTTTCATTCCATTTTCCAAAACCTCTTTGAATTACCCTTGTAGTCTTGAAAAGATCCCAGTTAGGCTGTACCAGATTCCTTCCCTTTAGAAACTATGAAATAATAGATTGTGTAGCTTTCAGCTCCAATCTTTGGTAATACTCTAATGCAGCAATATGTAACTAAGCTACTGTCCAAGGTTTGTAACACAGCATACCCTGGAAAGAAAACAGCCTATAGCAATATTCGGCCCTGGAAGAAAACTAGATAGTGGATGACTGGTGTCCTTGGCCTCCTAAGCCAAGAAAGAGGACAATAAGAGAGCTGAAGACCCACGATGGTAGACATTGCAGAGTGTGAGAAACCCAGAGAAGTGGCAGACTTTTTCCAGATGCTTGGGTTTAGACTTAGGGACCAAACTAAATCCTCAGAAAATGATGGGAGAGAAGATGACCCCAAGGATATCCAGGTACCAAATATGAGCCCTAAAAAGAAAAATAAAAAACCTAGCTGAGAAGTCCAGCAACCAGAGCAAAGATCATTCAAAATATATAACCTCCAAATCTGCTGAAATGATTTCTAAAAAAGAACCAATGGCCATGAGAATAAATGATAATAATAGAACCTAGGTGGAATCAAGTGCAGCAAAACATTTAATTTCACAATGTTACCTCTTTCAGATAAATTGGAGGAAGGTATTACTGTGATAGCATGAATAACTGAGAAGATGAATATAAAAGAATGAGAGAAGAAGGTCATATTATCTCCTATGAAAAGGCACATACACATATGCTGGCAACAATTTTGAGATCTAATTTTGCAGATAACAGGTTTCCATAAATGTAAAGGAATCATACTAGCATCAGACTTCTCATCTGCATTATTTGAAGCTGGAAAAATGGTGAAGTAATATTTCTTAGTACTTGGAGGGAAGACTGAAGCTAGCCAAACTGTTACTTATCTGTGAAGATAAAAAAAAAATGACGTTTGTAAAATTTCAAGTTTCAAATGTAACACAAGGTAAGCTTTCTAAGGAAAATAACGAAAGGATAATAACCAAAATAAACAAACAAGACACCAAACCCAAGTTGCATAATTGAAGAAACTGAGAATCAACAGTGGTGATCAATAAACTGACTTTTAATATATAATTAATCTAAATATTTGGAAATGAGCAATATGAGTTAGTAGCTCTATACTGGAAGTGAAATTTTGTTAACAGTTTAGAGATGCATGTATTAAGTTTTCTGTAGTAAAATCATGATGGTAGTAGAAGGTTGAGAGAAGGCAAAGCTTCCATGCGAAGTGAGAACACAGTGGGTGAAAGGCCATACTAGGTTGGGAAAAGAAAAGGAGGAAGGAAATGTGGTTTAACCCTTGTTACACTTGAGTGCTCTGGTCAATGTCCTGGCACTTCCTGCACATGCTGTGAAATGGCCAGGCTTTCCAGTTGTTTTTTAGGAGGTTGCTGTGGAATCATTTATGCCCAGGATTGCCTGCATCATAATACAGATTGTAGTGCTGTAAGTTCAGCTTACATCATCTACCTTACCATTTTCTCCACTGCTGCAAAGCACTTGGAACCTTAACAAAAGCTGTTTTATATAACAAATCATTATTGCCTGAGTGACTAGGCCTACTAATATTCAACAGGATTTCTCCAAAAATTCCATTTTTTGCTTTGCTTCTTTGGTAATTACCAAAATTGCTACAGCTGGAAACACTAAATGTATTATCTCCCACACTCCCAGAAGCTCCTTTCCATCTGCAGGAAGTTCAACACTCAGCAGCCTGAAGAAAGCGTCTTCTGTTAACTGCCAGTGCTGCAGTATCTCTCCAGGTAGCACCTCTTCCCACCATCCTCAGCCTTCCTATTTTGATCTTTATCCTGTGGGGTCCTAGGACTTTTGCCTTGTGTATGTATTTCTCTCTACTCTTGAATCCATGTGTCCACTATGACTGCCTAGACAAATGTGGTAACCCTTGGGGTCAGGCTCTTCTGCCTCCTTACTGCATCTCCCACATATGTTCAAGTCTCCAGCTCTGGCTCAGGTATTCAAGCCCCCTCTTGTCCAAGAAGCAAGTTCATAAAAGTTATAAATATCACTGCATATGTTCAACAACCATATCAAAGACCTGTGGACTATGCTATCCCTGATGGAAAACTTTCTCAAATGAGATCTTCCTTGGAACCTGAAAGCAGCATGTTTCTCATTAGTACAAGTCTAGTGGAGCAGTAAGACTTCCCAGTTCTTTCAATCATCTGAAGATTTTCAGTGAGAGTGTGTGTGTTCCAAACACAAATCCTCCACTTCTATTTCTATATACCTTCACTTCTATTTTATTAACAATTTTTAAGTAGGATAATCTCATTAATGAAATTTAGCAAATTTTTAAAATGTGAACATTTGGAAAATTAGGAAGGACCACATCCCCAGATGAAATAACTGCTCTCAGAGCTAATGGTTAGAGATCATGATGTTGAAATTGAGCCAACAGAGGTCAGCTTTGACTGTCCAGATCTCAAGGCCTCAGACAGAGATAAGAAAAGGATGATGACAGCATAAGGAAGGAAAGAAGCAGTTGGGCCTGAGTTATCTGATTAATATCTGCCAGAGACAAGTTGGGAATGAAAAATTGCATAATGATAAGAAAAAGAAGAGAGGAAATTGGAGACTAGTGAATATGAGATCAATGAGGAGATGCTGAAGCCACCACTGGGGAAGTTACTGCAGACACTGATGGGATGTGGAAGATGTGAGCTTAACAGAGATTGGAGAGGGGTTTGGGGAAATGGGTGTTCATCCACTAAAAAAATGACGGAGCCATTGCCTTAGAAATAAGGAACTAATGAGAAGTGCAAAGAAGCAGTTGAAGCCCAAATTGAGAAACTGAGAATTAGGGAACTGAGGATAACAAGAGATTTGTGAAATGAAAGTTGGGAGATTGGCAGGGGCTAAGGAAACTGCATGGAGATAAGCCAAAGTCCCCAAAATGTGTTAGGGGGAGGAAGCAGGTGGAAGGAAAGACAACCAAGGTCCATGTGGGCATTTGAGAATCCTTTGGAGGCTGAGCTGGGCATTCTGAGGTTCCAGTCAGCACCTGATGATTGAGGTTGAAGTGTTATCTTGGCATCACCTACAATATTCTTATAAGCAACCAGTCCTGTGCCCAGGAAGCCCAATATAGAACAAAATTTCTGGGTCTGTGGGTAGTTATGAGTATTCAGTTGTACACAGTAGGATTTGTGGGTAAGAGGATATGTTATAACCTCAGCTTCACAAGTTCTCTTGCATTTTATGTAGTCATTCTACAAGGAAGCACAGATGTTAGGAGAGAAGGCTACTATTAGGAAAAGAAAAACACCATGCATTTCATTTGATTATGTGCCTTTCTAGCCAAGCAATCATAAAGTACCACTGAGAGAGAATGATAGCTCTTAATCATGTAGTTTTAAATATACTGCATTTAGGAGTTTTTCTATTCCTTATCCAAGTAAGACTAAGGGATCTAGGAATAATAAATTGTCCTGGGAATGTTAATGGCTAGATATCTTAAGTCCTGTCTGACCATTAACACATCCTGGGATGTGATTCCAACAATTGTTTCTAGTTCCAGAAGACATTGGAAAAAAAATTATCATTTCCACAGGTCCATTAATGGAGGTGGGTCAGTGATTGAGCAATTATCTCTCAGTTCCAGCCCATCTTCTCCAGTTGGCTTTGTGCTGTTGGGGCTGAGACTCTGCAAATTACATTTCTCTGTTACCACCTGGTTTGCTGTTAAATGTGGCCAAGAGTTAAGAGTGGGCCCTGGAGGGAAGCCTAAAGACAGAGGAGAGGGAAGAAACAACTTGCTACATCTTTTTGCTTGCTCTTTCTGTCAGTGTTAACCTATGAAGGGCTCCTCTCCCTATTTCAAAACTTTGTTCCAGTTTTCAGAATCTTCTGCCATTCTCAGAATTAGCTTCAGTGATGAAAATGCTGGCACAAGCCTAGACATGTCAGTCTCTCACAGCTCTGGGCAGATCCCCAAAGCCCTTCCTGTAGGCTTCTAGGTTCTGATAATCCCAACCATCCTCCTTTGCAGGCGGGGCAGGCATAGCACCGGCAGCTGCTTCCTGTAGTTACTATCTCTGTGTTGTGTCAGTGTTCCCATTTTGCTTAGCCAGCCCTCCAGTACTTAACCAATATTTAACCTACAATTGCTTAACCAATCTCTTATATTATCTCTGATAAAATAACGAACATGGTTTCCATTTTCTTGACTAAATTCTGACTAATTCAGAGGTGCAGGGTCTTCTGCAATGAATTGTACAGAAAACTTCTTACTTTTTAAATCTCCCTCTTTGCAAAGCATTCTATTTCTTGCAGTTGTTAAAAATCAGTCCACTCCTTGCCACCCACCTGTTCCAGCTCATGTTTCACTTCTGAGAGTTGTCATCCCTGGCCTAATCCACCACACCCACAGATGCATTTCAAAATCATGACTGTATACCTCCCTTGCCCTTGTGAAGCCACGTGAGAGGCATTGTCTAGGTCTCCCTCTCATGTTTTTCAGCCCCTTTCTAAAGCATTAGTCCCCATAGAATTCTGGTGGAAACTCAAAATGATCACCATGTTAAATAGCTTAAATTTTTGTTTTCCATATGAAGAAATATAATATGTACTCGTGCTACCAGGGGTCTTTTTGCATTTGTTCCCTTATCTGTCCTCCTTGAACAACTAAGATTCCCTTGGAAGTGTTACTTCACTGATAGGTCCATTAGCCTCTATCTTAAAGAAACCCATCAGCATTAGGATTTAATTCTTCTTCCACTGATTTTCTGTTTCCTGTGAACTATTGTTAATAAACAAACCTCTTCATCACACATGTGGGCCTTTCCACCTAATTGGAAAATGTGAAATACTTTGTGATGGACATTTAAATGGTCTTTGCAATTTTACTTGAGACTAGCTCGCTGCCATTAGAAGAAAACTGGTGAACTGGTACCCATAAGCTTCTTCTTGAGTTTCCCTGGGGAGTGGGGCAAGGTGGAGCTTATCTCTTTGCTACCTTTCTCCAGAAAATGTATGCATAAAGACAATCTGCATTTTGTTAAAGGCACAACCATTTTTTTTCTTATTTGTTTATTTACTTACTCATTTGTGGTGGCTTTTAAAAGGGCTCAAATGGGTTATTTTGTTGTGAAGCAGGAGAGATCTTTTATAGTAAAAAATACAAATATGATACCTTTTCTACCAGAAATGCAGAGTAGTGATCATATTTCTAAGTATTGAATCAGTTGACTTTCAAAGGGAAGACCAAATATTTCTCATTATTTTTTAAGTTAAAAGTTCTTATGAAACAAGACAACCAAACAAGGCCATGGAGACATTTCTGCAATGGCCATGTGAAGAGAGCTTCATGAATTTTCTCATTAGTTCAACAACCATAACTGGTAAATATGTGTGTGCACATGTGTATGTATCTCCATTTAAAGTTTCTGAAATTGTCCTAATGGCATAAATAAAATAGAAAAACATGTATTCCAGAAAACCTAATAAGATATATTCTTGATAAGAACAGTGAGAATTTGTGATATATGAACCACTAATCCCCCACACCCAATTTAGTGAGAAAGAATTTCTACTACTGGTAGTTGTTGACAAAGTCAAAAAGTTTCTTATCAGATTCTAGCCTAAACCTGACTTCTGTCATAATGGGAGGAAGAAAGATGCTAATACTGTCATTTCCAGAATCATGTAGTAGACTCTTTCCAGGTAGAAGTGGCTGAGAGATCTCTGGCTTCTTTTACTCATCGGCTATCCATGGAGTAGGCATTCTACTCAAACTGCAGCAAGCAAAAAAAAAAAAAAAAAAAAAACAGGGCCACAATCAACTCTACTCAGGATTGCTCATGGGTAGAAAGTCAGTACAAGAAACAGTTTCAGAAAACCAGTGAGTATTGTTTCTTCCCAGAACCCCACTCAAAATAAAGGCGTCCTCTTAAGAGAAGTGGCATCCCTGCTATTTTTTATCAACACATTTGAAGGAATGACAGAAAGATTTTGCCCTGTGCAAAGGTATAGCATAATAACAGATAGCTTCCTGGCCATCCCCAAAGAAACTGACTTTATTGGGATCCAAGAGTTGGGAATTTCAAGTCTAAAGTGTACTGCCTCATGTAGAGGTAGGGATTAGGAGGTTGATAGCTTTGTTGCTAGTAACAAACTCAACTGTAGATCAGCTCAAAGTTTAACACTGAGAACTAGAGGAAAACTCAGCTAACACAAGCATTCCTGGGACCAGAACTAAGTACAAATATTACCTTCAAGTACATCAAGGAACCCAAATTTAACTAATCAAACTATGGAGCAATTTGGGCATTTTCCAAAAAAATAAAGCAATCAACCAGCAATTAATGAAAGCTGATATATGAGTGTGATAACAGTAGAGACAGAATACCTAGAAGCCTAATGGAGAGATCAGGGAGAAGGACAGGCAAAGATATCCTTTCTAAAACCACTGTCATCCCAGGGTGACCATGTACATAGCCAATTCTGTTTCCTTTGAAGAGCAGAATCAGAGGCTGCACATTGATGAGAAAAGAGACTTTATTGCAATAGTTGATCCAAGTTATGGAAAAAATAAGCAAAGAGCAACAACAAATAAGGGATCTGTATTCATCGATGCGTTATCTAAAATGTCCAATTCCCAACAAAAATTTGTGGCATATGCAAGAAACAGTATGTCCATGTGTATTAAAAACAGCATGCCTGTACACAATCAAAAGGTAGGCAACGGAAACTGCCACTGAAAGTACTCAGATATCAGACTTAGAGGAAAAATACTTCAAAGCTATATTACAAATATATTTTAAAATTAGACGAAATAATGCATAACCAAGAAAAGTAGGATGATGCCATATCATCAAATAGAGAATATCAGAATAGAAATAAAAATTACATGAAAGAAGATGATGTTCTGTAGCTAAAACATAGTCACTAAAATAAATAACTCACAAGAGTAGCTCAACCATAAGTAGAAGTGTCAGAAGAAAATATTAGTATGTTTGAATTTACATCGATAAAGAGAACGAAAGGAAATTAATCCTAAGAGAAATGTCAAATACTATTAAGCAAACCAATAAACATATAATGGGAATACCAAAGGAGAAGAGAGAGAGGGTAGAAGAAAAGTATTTAAAGAAATAATTATTAAAATATTTCCAAGTTTGATGAAAAACATAAATCTATACATACAAGAAGCTAGTGAGGTTCAGGTATGATAAATATAAAAACATCCACAATGATACACGTATACTCAAACTGTCAAATGCCAAAGACCAGGAGAAAATCTTGACAGCAGCGAAAGTAAGGTGAGAGTATACAAGATCAACAGCCATTTTCTCATAGGAGTCCATGGAGGCCAGAGACAGTGGGAAGACAAATTCAAAGTCAGAAAGAAGAATAGTGTCAAGCATGGATCTTCTATCCAGAGAAACTCTCTTTCAAAAATTAACATTCACACATATACACACACACACACACACACACACAGGCACAACTTTCATATCAACAAAAACTGATAAGAGTCGTTGCTAGCAGACTTGCTTTCCAGGAAACAATAGAGCAAGTTCTTTAGACTGAAAGTAAGTGTTACCACATGAAAAAACAAAGAGCATCAGTAAAGTTAATTTCGTAGGTAATTATAAAAGATAGTGCATTGCATATTTTCTACAATTCTTTCCTTTAAAAAGCAGTTCCATAAATAATATAAGTAAAATTGTGCTACTGGTATTTAACATAGAAATGTACTATAAATGAAAATAACAGCACAATGGAAGTAATAGGAGCAAAATTGTATTGGAGTAAGGTAATTACACCAGATAGTAACTGAAATCATTGGGAAAAAATGAAGAAGAGCAAAAATGGTAAGCAAGATTAATATAAGAAATTCTGTAAATTAATGCTTACTTTTCTTTATGTTCACAACTTTTAAAAAGTCAGAAAATTATATAAAATACTGTGTATAATAATGTATTTTTGGTCCATACCATATATATATATATATGAGATAAAGCCCAGAAAGGGGATGGAAGAATAGCAATAACATTTCTGAATCTCATTAGCATTAAGATAGCATATGTTTGAAGTCAATAGTGTGAAAAGTTAAGATATATATTATAATCCATAGCCAATAAGAAAGTAACTTTTAAAAATATTAAAAATCAGTAAAGGAATTAAAATGTCACACTAGAAAATATTCACTTAATGTTGAGAAGAGAGAAGTCTAAAATGACTTAAAACCAAGAATGGAACACTGGCTCTATAACTCTGATTACTGTAGGAGGTAAAATGACAAAGATTAGATGGGCTTTGGAGCTAGTTGGCTTCACTGACCTCAAGCACAACTGTGTTAAAATTCTCCAGTAACAAGTATCTTATCCATTGTGCTTGCAGGGTTAAGGGTGAGTGGGAAGTGCAGCTTGAGTACCTGATTCCAAATGTACTTTGATTAATTGCTTATTAATTGGCATTTCCTAAAAAAAGGTGGTACATGGGAGAATTACGTATTAACACTTCCATCTAATCAGATCTATGAGTCATGCAGACAGGAATATTGAAAGAAACAATTCAAAACTATTTAAAGTACTAGCCTAGGCCGGCGCCGCGGCTCACTAGGCTAATCCTCCGCCTAGCGGCGCCGGCACACCGGGTTCTAGTCCCGGTCGGGGCGCCGGATTCTGTCCCGGTTGCCCCTCTTCCAGGCCAGCTCTCTGCTGTGGCCAGGGAGTGCAGTGGAGGATGGCCCAGGTGCTTGGGCCCTGCACCCCATGGGAGACCAGGAAAAGCACCTGGCTCCTGGCTCCTGCCATCGGATCAGCGCGGTGCGCCGGCCGCAGCGCGCCGGCCGCGGCGGCCATTGGAGAGTGAACCAACGGCAAAGGAAGACCTTTCTCTCTGTCTCTCTCTCTCACTGTCCACTTTGCCTGTCAAAAAAAAAAAAAAAAAAAAAAAAAAAAAAAAAAAGTACTAGCCTAACTCTGATTTTCCTTGCTCACGTATTGGACTAATCAGCATCATTAAAATGTGCATAATATAATACCTAAAGCAATATACAAATTCAATACAATCACTATCAAAACATCAAAGACATTCTTTACAGAATTAGAAAAAGGAATCCTAAAATTAACATAGAATCACAGAAGACCCAGAATAATCAGGGCAATCCTGAGAACAAAAAAATTCAAGTTCGAGGTATAATGATATCTAACTTCAAAGCGCACTACAAAGCTAGAGTAAATAAAACAGCATGGTATTGGCATAAAAGCCAACACATAAATCAATGGAACAGAATAGATAGCCCTTAAATTAATCAACATACATGCAGCCAACTGACATTCAACAGAAGTACTAAGACCATATAGTGGAGTAAGGATAATCTCCTCAACAAATGGTGCTGGCAAAACTGGAGGTATATATGTAGAAGAATGAAATCAGATCCAAACCTCTCATCATCTACAAAAATCAAATCAAGATAGATCAAATACCTAAAATTAAGAACTGAGACTATAAAATTGCTGGAGGAAAAAGGAGGGGAAGTACTTCAAGGCATTGGTGTGATGGATGATTACTTGGACAAGACCCACAAAACCCAGGAAACAAAAGCAAACCTAAACAAATGGGAACAAACTCAGAAGCTTCTGCACAGGAAAGGGAATGATAAATGGAGTGAGGAAACATCCAACAGAATGGGAGAATAAATATTTGCAAGTTACCAGTCTGACAAAGGATTAATATCCAGAATCTATCAACTTTAAAAATTTCAACAATAAAAAACAACAATTCCAGTTAAGAAATTGGCAAAAGAACTCAATAAATTGTTATCAAAAGAAGAAATACAAATGCCGAACTAATATATGAAAAAATACTCAACATCACTAGCCATCAGGGAAATTCAAATGAAAACCACAATGAGATATCACTTCACCCCTGTCAGAATGGCTAAAATCCAAAAGACTGAGAGTAACAAGTGCTGGCAAGGACATGGAGGAAGAAGACACTTATACTCTGTTGCTGGGTATGTAAATGAAAATTAGTGCAGCCACAGTGGAAAACAGTATGGAGAGTTCTTAAAAATCTAGAAGTAATTCGGGACATGCCCAAGCTGACTTACCTCAAACGGCAGAGTTAGAAACATACCAGGGGATTCCAATTCAATCCCATCAAGGTGGCATGTACCAATGCCATCTCACTAGTCCCAGTGATCAATTTCTGTTCACAAATGATCATAATGATAGGACTAAGAACCAAAGGGATCACATAAACAAAAACAGTGTCTGCAAATACTAGCTGATAGAATCAAAAAGGGAGAGAATGATCCAACATGGGAAGTGAGATACACAGCAGACCCATAGAATGACAGATGTCCTAAACAGCACTCTGGCCTCAGAATCAGCCCTTAAGGCATTCGGATCCGGCTGAAAAGCCCATGAGACTATTTCAGGCATGGAAAGCCAAGACACTCTGGGGAAAAAAAAAAATCTTAAATTAAAGATCTCCGTGAGTGAGATCTCAGTGGAAAGAATGGGTCATCAAAGAAGGAGGTACCTTTCTCTGAAGGGAGGAGAGAACTTCCACTTTGACCATGGCCTTGTCTAAATATGATCAGAGTCAGTGAACTCAGGGGGCTTCCATAGCCTTGGCAGCTCATGACAAGAGCCTAGGGTGATTACTGAGGCCATAAACAAGAGTGTCAATTTGTTAAGTCAACAACAGGAGTCACTGTGCACTTACTCCTCATGTAGGATCTTTGTCCTTAGGGTGCTGTACATTGAGATTTAATGCTATAACTAGTACTCAAACAGTATTTTTCACTTTATGTTTCT